TATGTATGTATGTATGTATGTATGTATGTATGTATGTATGTATGTATGTATGTATGTATGTATGTATGTATGTATGTATGTATGTATGTATGTATGTGTGTGTATGTATGTGTGTGTGTATGTGTATGTATGTATGTATGTATGTGTGTGTGTGTGAGAGAGAGAGAGAGAGTACTACAACTTAAATCCTAGAGTGTTAGAGCATTTGAATTTAGACATTGATTTTGAGACTTTCTTGTAAAATAAAATTTTGGGTTATTGTTATAAGATATTTATCACTTTGACCAAATTGACACAATAATTTAAATAAAATTTAACTTTTGGTGCAATAAAAGTAAAAAATATCGATAGTAAAATCGAATCTATAACAACTCACTACAGAATTTTGACTATCGAGTCTATAATTAATTTTAGGATTTTAACTAAATACGAGTAAATGATACAGATAATTAATTAAATCAAAACAGTTTCAATAAAATATTATAGATTTTTCACGCTTTCTTGCAAACAAATGGCATCATTTTCAAGATTTATGCCCATAAAAAGATCAAAATGGTTGAATTTATGACTTCATAGAAGTCGATTGTACTTTTAAAAGCTTACTTGTCAAATAAAATGGCCAAATCATGAAGAAGAAGCTTCCTAACATATTGAAAACGACTATTTGTCAATTCAAAGTATGAAATGGACACAAAATTCTCGCATAAATCAAAAATCTTTTTTAACTTTTTCTTAACTAAACGTTGCTTAAAATATTTGAATCACTTAATCACACGACAATGGTGTAAGAAAGTTTACGGATGTCAATTATAGTTGTTTTATAATACCTGGTTTCATTTTTAAACATAAAAAAGTAAGTATCAGAAAAAAATATTAATCATTTTTTCAGATTCAGATATTTTAAATTCAAACCGATTTATTAAGTTTTTATATATTATATTAAATTTTATATTATCAGCTTTTGGAAAATGATTAGGAGACAAAATATGTATTACGTATTTTAATATTATATATGATGATAATATAAAATGTTTATTCGTAATTAAGTGTTGGCTATGTTTGCACTCAAAGATGGTTAAATTTGGATTTTTGTGACAACATGACAAACACAAATAAATTATACTGTGTAGCAAATCTATTTATGTAACTACGTCGAAGCAATAATTGTAGTGCTCTATAGGTTTGTTGTAACGTTATGCCTTAGGCACTTAATCGTTATGTTAATTTAAGTTGAAGATGATTCATATATCAAGTGAAATATATAACTGTATATGCATGTTATGAATCTACTTATAAAAAAAATTATATTTTTAATTATGAATGATAATACTGAAATCATTATATGTCGATTACGTAACATTTAAAAAAATTTAAAATGAAAAGGACATGCCAACCTCATTGGTCTTGTGAAAACGTTTAATATACTCAAGAATAATATTGTTATTAATCTAATAAAAGTATAGAAAATAAAATGATGATTTAGACCATTATGTCTTTTTCTCGAATATACAATTATTCAGTAACAAACTAACATAGGTTGTGCTTGTGTTGGTATGGACGAAACATATATTCTTAAATTATGTTGTAATTATTTAATTACATGTCTAAATAGAATTGTTGCAAATTTGAAACAATTTTATGAGTATCTAAAATTTTGATAACTAAATCGAACAAAAATGTGTTGTCATTTAAAATTATTTTATCTGCGTTTATATTAACATGAAATTCTAATGGGTCGTTTGGTTCGTAGAATGAAATTCGATGGAATTGGAATGCATCAAATGAATTTGAATTTGAGGGAATGAAATGAAATTTGACCATGTCTTGTGATTGCGTTTAGTTGCATGGAATTGGAATTAAATTCTTAACGGATTGGAAATTTTTTGTTTGGTTCATGGAATTCAACTTTGAAATCGGAATTAAATATCAACAAATGACCTTTTATGATTTTTGAATAACAAAATTGGACTAGTGATATCGATATCTAGTTATCTTGAATCGATCTCTTGATTACATATGTTGTCTATCGATCTCGTATAGATGGAGAAATTACGAAAGACAGCGAGAGCGTACCAGATGGAGATCGAACCAAAGATCAAATAGATGAGATGGTAGACGCAACGTTGAATAAATTTGGATTAGGGAAGGAATTTGTCGAAAATAAATTGAAATCCGAGGGTATTACCGTGGAATGTAAAATCTGTGAGTGAAGAAATTTATTAGAATTGAAAGGATTCCATCAGTGTTATTCTATGAACCAAATATTGTATTTGGAATTTGGTTAAAGGATTTGACCATTCAAATTTCTTTCAATTCCATCCAAATCCCCGAACCAAACAACCCCTAATAGTTTTATTTTTTGAGTTATTTAAAAGGATTTTAACAATTTTTATAAGTTTTTAATACGAGCTTACTTTTTTTGTCTATTAATAATAATTATTTGAAATTTACATTTCTTTGATTTTAGCTTGCATGGTTTTTTCTTATTGAACCCATATCCAATATTTAATCAATTACCAAATATTTTATAATAAGAGATCATAATTTTAAATCTCATAAAATATAAGGAGAATATGTGAGTTTATTTGTTACATTTATCGTATATAATGAATATATACTTAAAAAAAAGACAAGTACCAAATACTAAAAATGAATAATAGCATTCCAAATAAAGAAAGAAGACAATAATTAAGGGGGTTAAGTGTAAATATTGAATAAGAGAGGGGTCAAGCTGGCTCTCCAAAAGTTGACCGACCTCCTCACTTGCTTTGCAAGGAAATCCCCATCAGACGCGTCTCTTATTCGCACCCCTTCACTCGGTTATGCATTTATTCACAAAAATAAAATGTTTTGATTGGGTTAAGTCACATATTTAAATATCTAATTTAATAAAGAAAAACTCTTGTTCTTCATTATTTTCCACGACCAACGTGTCAATTCGTTTACTTCAATGTAATTGTTCTCAACGACGACGTCCCTGGTTGACATCTATAATGCATCGACGATTTCCAACATCGTCTGCGGGTTTTTTCTTTGTTTAAGGGTTTTTCGCTTCACCAATTTTTTCACTCATTTATCATTATTTAATATTTTTTTTATGTTTATTTCAAAATGGTTGATTTTTAATTGTGAAAACTCCATGAACAAATCTAAAATTATATTTAGTATAATTTTTTACATAAACATATACAAGTGTATATTTATCTTATATCTTTAAATTATTATAAAATATCATTAGTTGGGTCACGGGTGATAGAGGGTGTCAACCAAAGTCTTAAAAGTTACAAATCACCCCCCTTAACTTCCAAATTATCATAAATACCCCTCAAGTTTATTACAAATCACCCCCTTAACTTCCAAAGTCATGTGAAGTTTTAGTTAAAAAAACATTATTTTAACAATATGTCATGCATAATTAGTAAAGTAGATTTATGAGTTATTATAAACTTAAAATTATAGGTTGTCAATAACTTTAATAATAATTTCATCTAAGTTTAATCTGTAGTTATTGTATCAACATGTTATTTTAAGCTTTGGGTATTACATATAATGTTATGGTAGCTAAGAATTTAAAGCCACCAAACGGCCTTGACTCAGTGGCATCTAGTAACTCAGACCACCTTTCTGGAGGTTAAAGATTTAAGTCTTAGCAATAGTGAAAAATGTGTGAGTTATATTTGCAGTTTATAGATATTATATACTTGAAAAAAGAATGTAACCTTATACCATTTGAGAAAACACAATCATATTTTAGGTATTTGTAAAATTAGTGTTTATTTTACAACATATAGTTTTTCGTTGTTAATTTCTTGTTGTTTATCATCAGTTTTATATAACGTAATTTTTTGAATGTTATAATGTAGGCTTGTGATTTCTTAATGATCATCTAAACAAGAGTTAAATCATCATCTTCATTACGTAGTTCGTTAATAATTTTAACTTTTGTCCCTGTGATTTGGGAATTATGATTTTTATCTCTATGTTTGTAATTTATTGTTATTTTTGTCCCTGGATTAATTCTTGTATTTAAGTACAAGGGACCAAAACAATAAAAAATTGTAAAGCACAGGGGTCAAAACAATAATAAATTATAAAGACAAAAATAACATTAAATTACAATCCATGAGAATAAAAATCATAATTTCTAAACCAAATGGACGGAAATCAAAATTATTAACAAACCACAAGGACGAAAATGTAATTTACTCTTTAAACAATATCAATTTGTAAACCTAAAGGGGTTCTTTTGCACATAAGTAAACCTAAAGGGTAGTTATGTGATTTTTTCCCTATAAAGGGTCAACAACAATCTCATCGTCACCACAAATCAGAAAAGCAGTGTGCCGGCGTTTCTCGTTTGTCTTGGTCTGCCTCCAACCATATTTGAAGGCTTCTTGTTTTCATACTTATCGTCCCGAAATCAAACAAAAAGCCATGGGAAGGAAGCTCGATGCAATCCTTGGCCGGAAATTCAAGACTTCCAAGTTCAAAGCAACCGTGAACCTCGCCGTCTCCCGCCTCTCCATCCTCAAAAACAAGCGTCAAGCTTGCGTCGCCGTCGTTCGCTCCGATATCATCGAACTCCTCAAACTTAACCACCATGAACACGCTCTCCAAAGGGTACCCTTTTTCTCTGGTTTCGTTCTATTTAGCTTCCAAAAATCTTATACCAAAATGGAAAGCGTGATGTATTTTGAATTGTTGTATTATGTTGCAGGTTGATCAAGTGATTAAAGAACAGAATATGTTAGATGTGTTTGTAATGATGGATGGATACTGTCATCTGCTGTTACAAAGAGTCAGTCTCATAGAACACGAAAAGTAGGTATTTTTAAAGCTTTTTTTGCATCTTCATTTTCAAATTCGTGTTGTTTTTTCCTTTGGATTAAGTATTTTTTGTAAATTTTTCATCAGGGAGTGTCCAGATGAACTGAAAGAGGCAGCATCGAGCTTGATTTTTGCAGCTCCGAGATGTGGGGAGTTCCCGGAGCTCCAAGAGATTCGAGCAATTCTCACGTCTCGTTATGGGAAGGAATTCGCGAAAGGTGCTACTGATTTAAGGAGTAATTGTGGAGTTAGTACAAGGGTAAGAGTAAAAGCAGAATCTTGATCATGTTTACATATCGAATTAAGTTCAAATTTTTGACATTTGAAAGTACGTTTTCATGGTGTTAGATGATACAGAAGCTGTCACCCAGGCAATCAACCTTGGAGACCCGAATGAAGACCCTGCAAGAAATTGCTACAGAAAATGGCATCGTTCTGCAACTCGAGGACACGTCTCCGGTGATCAATGAAGTTGCTGAAGTTTTGAGTGTCAGGAATGGATCAAGTAGTAGACTTCAAAACAATTCGGAAGTTTTGGACGATGAAGTTTTGGGTTTCTCGGAGTCTAGGAAGGGGAAGAAGAAGTTTAGAGATGTAGAAGATGCTGCACAAGCTGCGTTCGAATCAGCAGCGTATGCAGCGGCTGCCGCCAGAGCAGCGGTGGAGCTTTCTCGATCAGGATCTTTCGGTTCTGATGATCCCGATAGTCCCAATTCTCGACCCAGAAAAGTACGTGATTCCGAGAAATCAAAACTCCACGTGAGATACGAGAAAAACCATGAATGGGAATCTGAATCGGAATCGGAATCTAAACACAAGGAGACTGTGGTAGAAAATGAGGGTGAAACATCAAAGAATCACAGATTGGCAAGAGACAGCGATGGTTCTGATTCCGATGGGCATAAGACGTCGGAGAAGGGAATGGTTTTCGATGAAAGTGATGATGAGATCGAAAACGAACCAGCTGGTTTTTCGTCATTAGGAAACTACAACGGTGGATTAAAGACAGAAGGTGCATTCACATCTGATAAGCAGTTCCCGATTAGGCCCAAAAATGCGGAGATGGGTCTTGGAATCGACGAACGACGATTTGGCGAAGGTTCGGAGATCGCGCAACTGGATTTAACAAAGAAGCCGATTTCTGTGAGGAACAAACGAGTGTACGGAAGATAACCAAGGGTAAGTTTTGTAATTACAGTCGTTGTAGATTGCCTATCTATTTTATTTGTTTTTTCTGTTCTTCATTTCATTTTCGATCGTTTTCTGTAAAATCCACCATTTTTGTATTGTTATGAAGCTCGTGTCTATGAATATTTCATTTTCTTATTTTTAATTTCACATCTGTTTTCATATATATTTTTTATCTGTTTTTTTCACGAAATCTATTCAGGGTTGTCTATGGATCTTTTTTACATATAAATATAGGGTCAAGTAACCGTAAAAAATAAAAAATTGAGCAACACTTTTGTAACCGTTCATTTGGACGTTATACACATGCACATAAAAAAAACTTATAAAAATATTATATGGTATGCAAATGTGCATAATATGTACACATGCATACAAACCAATAAAAACTTCAATTACTTGTATATATACATATGTACATACCGTATAGATGAACGGTTACCAGAGTGTTACTCAATTTTTCGTGTTTTTTAGGGCCTTCCTGTGAACCTCCCTATATATATAAGATTAATCATTTGAGAACTCTAAATTTAAAAAGATCCGTGAGAACTTCTACATTAAACTTTTTGTTCCACATGATATTTTTCATCTATGTATAGTATTTAATGTATTTAGTAACATATATTTAATTCACAATGTGTCTGTTCATATGTATTCGGTTCATAATGTGGAACTTTTTTACGTGTATTTTTGTTTTAACAAACACACTAAAAAGGTTCATATTTACGAATTGAATACATCTGAAATAAACACACTGTGAAACAAGTATATGTTCATTATAACATTAAATTTTTAAACATAAATAAAAAAAACGTATTAAATAGTTCATAATACACTAGTTATCAAATATTTAACGGAAAGAAAAAAGGTCATCATAAAACGTGTGTATATTGCATAAGGTTGTGTTTCTAAAGGAGTAATCTTAAGTGATAATTAGGTTGATGTTAGGTATATCTAATTTGGACCCTTGAGATTAACCATTATGTTAAAAGGAAAGTATTGTAACCCAAGTTGCAAATGCTACATCAAATTCTTTTCCTTAAGATTAATTAAAATTATAGAATACAACACGGACAACAGTCTCTTTCTATCTTAATTATTAAGAATCGGCAAACCAACTTATAGTTGACAGAAAAAATCAATCTGAACACCTATATCTATAAGAAAATAATCAGATAATACACATAATTGACACCAATAGAACCAACCTTGTCGGGCTTAATCATCATAAGCGGGTTTGAATGGAAAGGGTGAACGGATGCGATTAGCGTTATGATTGTTGGGAAGTTGGTATGGGAAATTGCTGGCAATTGGATGTTGAACAAGTCTGTCATCGAGAAAGGTTAGGGTTTGTGTGATGTAAGTGAATATGGATCTCAAATAAGGTCTATGTGATGTAAGAGGTGTTAGTTTCGAGTTGAATTTAGGCATGGCAATGGGCGGGGATGGGGCAGGTTTTGTAATCCCCGGCCCCGGCCCCGGTTTGTAGTAACGTCCCATTGGCCTCGGCCCCGGTCCCCAGCGGGTACGGGGATTATCATCCCGTCTCCGGTCAAATCTCTAGCAATCCCCGGTAAAACCTCGGTTAATCCCCGGTCAAACCCCATAAATAGCATCCTTTAGTTTGATTCTACCGGGGATCCCCGGGCCCGGCCCTGGTTTGAGTAACATCCCCCGTCCCCGGTTTGAGTCTACCGCGGATCCCCGACCCCGGGAACCGTTTTAACCGGAAATCCCCATCCCCGTTCGAATTGGGTGAACCGGGTTCCTCACCGGGTCGGGGCAAATCACCATCCCTAGTTGAATTCATATATTGCATATTTGATATTTTGAATCTTAACTCTTCAAGTTACTTTATGTTTATAAATAAGTATTTACAAAATATAATCAAATTGTTAAAATATAAAGATTTTTATTTATCAATCATCAAAACTATAATATTGTCAAATGTTACAGAAAGAAAATAAACCACCAAAATCTATGAGTTGAAATGTTTTTTCGTTGTGTAAATGGGTCCGGAAATTCACTATTTTGAGGCGACGTTAGACTGGGCGAAACCTTATTTAAATGCTAAATCAATTTGAACACCTTTCTTATTATATGAAAGTTATATATAGAGAGAAAAATATCGAAGTCTATAGAGAGAACCCAATTTCGATCAAGTTATCAAGAAATTTCAAAGCAAAGAAGTTGCAAATAGGAAGAGAAACTTATAGGGTATAGAAGCAATTAACAGAACAAGAAAGATATCAATTATTGTTGGTTAATTATAACTTCTTGCTGAATAGATTGGTGTTGCTTTGGTTATTTTGTTATATATATATATATATATATATATATATATATATATATATATATATATATATTTAGAGAAATACCATTAAATGTTAAAATCATCTGAATTAATTAATAAAGAAATCTCTAGATTTTGATAAATTTATAAACAAAACTTAGATAAAAAAACTTATGATTTCCATACAATAATTGATTAGAAGTTCAAATGAATTTAAATACGATTTTTAGTTAAAATATATATTAACGTTTTAAATAACGTAAGACATGACTGTGAAGTCAAACTTCAAACCCTTATAAGTTATAAGGTGATCAAAAGATAGTTATTTATTTTGAATGGTAAAATAGGGCAAGTGTAAAATGTCATTTTTTTATGGGATGTTTGGGATTGTTTATAAAAAAAACTTATTGAATTATTTTGGTCTGACACTGATAATAAATACTTGTAAGTGTTTGGATAAACAACTTATACCGATGCCAAACTAATAATAAGAAGTTTAAAAAAAATTAAACTCTTTTTACTAATAATAAGTTGATAACAGTTAAAAAAAAAAAACAATACTTGTTTCAAATAAGCAATCAAAACACCCCCTTAGTCTCCCGTTGTACGTTGATACCATAAACACAACGGAACAAAGCCTTTCTTTCATCTCTCTCCCTCCCTCCCCGCTTTCGGCAGTGGGCGAAAACACATACCCTTGGCATACGACGAACTCAAAGCCGGTAACGCATTTATTCTCGCCGGTGAGGTCTAGATTCACTCCGAACTCTTCTATCTCTCCTTCCGTTTATCCCCAAACTGTTCTCAATTTGTGTATCTGTACGCTTATCTGATATATCTTGATTTCTTGTTCGGATTTTTACATTGTTAAAATGAACCTTGCAGTTAATCTTATTGGAATCTCGTTTTCTTTTCTCGAATTTAAATTTCTTAGTTTCCTAATTGATATCTAGATTTGTCATTCTAGGGTTAATTCTAGATCTCACTTTTCGAAGGATATTTTAATCTTTTTGGAGGTTCACCCTTTTGTTTTAATTAGTTTACATGAACAATTTTAACTAAGCAAGCTGAGAGGGGCTTCATGTCATATATTTGGTTATGTGTCTCTACACACACCGTTACTCTTGAAAAACTATAGTCATTTCTTTGCTATTCAAAGATTAACATGAGGACTGCAATACATTTTTTTTTCAAGTTAACGATGGAGTCTTGGTTGATTAGCAACTCAGGAAATCTTCAAGATGCCGTTCATGGGATGATAGAATTGGCATTAAGTTAACTCCTGTGTGCAATTAACTCGTTAGGGATTTGACTGAAACTGTACTAGTGTTTAAAAATTCAGACAACTATGTCGATGGTGGACGAGCCCTTGTACCCCATAGCAGTACTGATAGATGAGCTGAAGAATGACGATATCCAATTGCGGTTAAATTCTATAAGAAAGCTTTCTACAATTGCCCGTGCTTTAGGCGAGGAGCGTACCCGGAAAGAGTTAATTCCTTTCTTGAGTGAAAACAATGATGACGACGATGAGGTCCTTCTTGCGATGGCTGAAGAGCTAGGTGTGTTCATTCCTTATGTTGGAGGGCTGGAGCATGCCCATGTGTTACTACCCCCTCTAGAAACTCTTTGCACTGTTGAGGAATCATGTCTGAGGGACAAAGCTGTGGAGTCTCTATGCAGGATCGGGTCACAGATGAGAGACTCAGATTTGGTTGACTGGTTTATTCCTCTTGTTAAGGTTGGTTAAATTTTTTTCTTTCTGTTGTAGATACTTATTGTCCTACATCACATGATGGTATCAACAGTTTGATTGTATCTACTTGGTTCTTGTTTGGTTGGAGTTCTTACACCTTTTGTTCTTTTGACTGCAGAGGCTGGCAGCTTGTGAATGGTTCACTGCTCGGGTTTCTGCCTGTGGATTGTTTCACATTGCTTATCCTAGTGCCTCAGAGATGTTGAAGGCAGAGTTGAGGTCAATATATAGTCAGTTATGTCAAGACGACATGCCTATGGTTAGGAGATCCGCCGCTACAAACTTGGGGAAGTTTGCTGCTACCGTAGAACCATCTCATCTCAAGGTTGATATCATGCAAATATTTGAGGATCTTACACAGGATGGTATGTTGTTTTTCTTTCATATCTCATTTATTTGCATTCCTACCTCAGTCTCCCTTGAGCTGTTTTATAGGTTTACGGTTTGGTTGCCACGGCAATGGCCTTTCTTTGAAAGTATGAAAGGTCTTTTTCTGTGTTATGATTTTATGCATGGTTATGTGGTGTCTCTCCCCCCTAGTCAACAAATTAATGGTGTAGGTACACGATGTCCATTCACCTTGCAATTTGTTTTAAAAAGCTGGCCACATCAGAGTCTTACCCTGACCACTCTAGCTATCTTGGAGGTGAAGATGATGCAATATCTTTGTGTCCCTCTGGATCTTTATGCTTGATTCAGATTTGTGCAACCCTGATTTGATGTGGACTGTAAATGACAAACCTGTTGTTGGGGGGGGTTGTTGCAACTCCAATTCAAACATCGACTAACATTTCAACTCGTTGGACGTATTCAATTTTAAATTTGTTCGTTTATCATTTTTAGTGAACTAGTAAGTCTTTTTATAGGAACCAACTCTCTTCCATCCCAGGAATAATTCTAGAGAGTTATACAGTCATCGACATTGGACTATAAAAGGTACTGAGATTCTATCATCTGGTTGCAGTTCAGATCCTGGTTTAGTTGTCAACCTTTGGTAGCCAATTCTTCTTTCTTGCTTCTGCTGTCTTCTCTGCCTTTTCTGTTGTTTAGATAGAGATGGAGTCTTCTGCAACTGAAAGAGAGAGAGAGGGATGGGGTGGACATGGACATGTGCTAAGCATAGGATAGTGTTTTGTTTTGTCCAGGAAACTCTAGGGCACATCTGTCCAAGTCTCTTTTCTGTTTTTACATATGCTACATTCTCAATTTTATGATTTAATCGTAGAGTTTTTTTTTAATTGTTACGTTTTATAAATGTAGGGATTATGCATCCTCAGGTGATTTGATTCTTAATAAATGACCAAAAGGTTATAGAACCATTTTATCGTCTCCAAGGGCCTTAGGTTTCACTTGGAGGGGGAAAATGCACCATTTTCGATCGAATTTGCAAAATCCAGTCAACTATGGTGTGCTTGCATTGTATTTGGTTTTATAGGTTGCTTTGCCACTTTGTAAGATTACTGCGAATTTACGTATGGAATGCTCATTAGGCTGCATAACAATTGTTCTAGTTGGTTTTTTAATTGCATGCTTAGTAAATAGTATCCTCAGCTAATTATGGCTCATTAGGCTGCATAACAATTGTTCTAGTTGGCTTTTTGATTACATGCTCAGTAAATAGTATCATCGGCTAATTATGGCTCAAGTTAGTAATCCAAAACTTAAGTAAAAGGTTAAGACACAATAGTTAGGCCAACAACAGAACCAAGGGATGGTTTTGTGGTTGCAGTATTTGTGTACACATTGCCGATCTTACACCTATCCACTTTGAATGCATTGGCTTCAACTATAATCTGATAAACCCCCAATTCTTTGATTTTTCAAGGACTACACTGCGAATGCTCCAGGCTTGCGTAAGAAAATAATATGGATGGAGGCATGCTGCCTATCAGTTTTCTGTATGATAAAAGTGCTTTTTATCTGCTTAGTTGTCGGTTCTGAATGAAGGTAGTCTGAGTTTAATGAGGACAAATATTCATGTTTCAAAAGTTTATTTTCCCTGAGAAAGTAGGCAAGTATTTCTTCCAACAAATGATGATGGATGTTTTTCTTACATGCACATAATATGTTCAAAATAATGTTACAGTTTGATGTCTTTCACATCATATCTTGCATCTTTGTCATTCTCTTGTTGTTTGGCCATCTGTCAATGTAATTTTTGTCTTTCTACAGATCAAGATTCTGTTCGTTTGCTTGCTGTCGAGGGTTGTGCTGCTCTTGGCAAATTGTTGGAACCCCAAGACTGTGTTGCACATATTCTTCCTGTCATTGTCAACTTTTCTCAGGTGTTTACCTGCGGTTTATGGGGATGTATCATGACCAAACAATATATGCTCTGTACTTAACCCAATCGGATTTCTGGAAATTATGTGCTGAAAATTATTGTTTGTTGTAAATTTTAGGTCATATCATAGTGCTATATTGATAAAATAATAAATAATTCCAGAAAAAAGGCTAATGCTTATTTGGATTTATGCAAACAGCTACGTAGAGAAGAAAGGATAGAAAAGTTAGTTGTTGAACAACAAAGCATATGATGTTGGATATACTTTTTCCACTTGTGTGGTGAACTTGGCTGGGCAGTTGGCTACTTCCAGAAGGTTTACAGTTGGGTGCTGCTTATGGCATGGATATTCTAAAAGGGACAAGGCTTGAGCTTATTGTTGCAAAAGCTTAGTCCCTGATAGCATGTAGGGATTTAGGGTTCGGAATGGTCTTCACTTTTCATGGAGAATCGTGTATAAGTAATGCACAAGGGCTCATGGCAGAACGACATGATGAAACCTGTCTAACTTATCCCTGATGTAAGCTAGTACTACTAGCAAGGATTAAATTCCCTAACAATTCTTTTTTTGCTTTCACTTTTTTTTGTTTCTTCTCTTGTACCTTTCTGGTATTATTTTGCCTCAATCCATGTAAACAAACTTTCTTGGCAACATTAGTGAGTTGGCCTTTTTCTTTCCCAAGATACTATTTATCTCTGCAATTCTGTTTATTTGCTTTCCATTGGGTGTTTGAAGTATGTCTATATCCATACTTTTAACTTACTATTGGAACGGGTTATTTGTTTTTAGGACAAGTCATGGCGCGTTCGCTATATGGTTGCTAATCAGCTGTATGAACTATGTGAAGCTGTGGGACCTGAACCTACCAAGTATGTTGCAGTTCTGATATCTAAAGTTGTCCTCCCAAAATATCTTGATGTACCTTTATTTTGTGCTATCATGTTGATTATTTGATGGCTGGCTGGTTGTGATAGGACGGACTTGGTTCCAGCATATGTGAGGCTACTTCGTGATAACGAAGCTGAAGTACGTATTGCAGCTGCTGGCAAGGTCACCAAGTTCTCTCGCATTCTCAGCCCAGAACTTGCGATTCAGCATATTCTTCCATGTGTGAAGGTGTGGTATTTACTAACAATTTCTCTTCCTCTCTCCCCCAACTTGCTGTCGGACATTGAGGAATTTATATCCTTTAATTTGGTTATCTTACCTCTTCCTATGATGGTATGTAGGAGTTGTCTTCAGATTCTTCTCAGCATGTTAGGTCTGCTCTAGCCTCTGTTATAATGGGCATGGCTCCAGTTTTAGGGAAGGTAATGATTTTATTTAATTATCTTTTAAAGTAGACAGTTGGTGTGCTGCGGTGATGACAATGACTACCGCGATTTATGATTTATGTTTGTGGTAAAATGCAGGATGCGACTATAGAACAACTTCTCCCTATATTTCTATCACTTCTGAAGGACGAGTTTCCAGATGTACGCCTGAATATCATTAGTAAGCTAGATCAAGTAAATCAGGTATGCTGCCATTAGAATGACTTGCATTTATGGGCTTATTATCAATTTCAATACATTATCATATATTAGTCCGAGTATATTATCGTTCCGCAATTTTTAAAAGTTGTCAAAATGATAGTCACTTGATGTTTATGTATCGATAGTCTAATTTGAAAATTGGGAATGAAATATAGAAGTTATGCTTCGGGTAGGTTTCAGTTATAATATATGTGGCAATAAGAAGGCAAAGCTATAATGAAAGCTCATTTTTGCATGTAGTTTAAGTATCTCTTAACCGAAGAAAAGATTAATATCTTAGAGTAGTTTATTTTCTATACCTTCTGTTTGTACTCAATAAATCCGTTAACTAAACAGAGTCTAGTGTCTTATAGACCAGTATTTAATGAGCTCAAACATGAAATATTTGACCAACTTTGAGACTGTATCCTTCAGATACAAGGAATTTGAGCACACAATTTTAATTTAGAGGATGCTGTCTCTTTGAAGTAAAATATCTGTCATCTTGTATTCCTTTGTTTGACATGTGTAATTATTTGGCTGTTAGTCCGTAATCTTTCAACTGAAGTCACAAGAACCCATTTTCATCTTCACAGTACCAAAAAAGAGGCAAATGTATTTCTCTTTGTCACTTTGATTAATCTTAAACCATTGCCTTCATCTGGAAGTCACTCCTTTAAAGTTGCCATTGCTTAGTTTTTGATGATCCTCTGACTATCATGTGAAACGTAAATAATCCTCTCTCTTCTCTTTGAAAGAAGTGGCGCCTCCGGTTCTGGTGGCGACTGAGATATTATATTGGAGAACTAACTATATGTCTATATAACATACAGCTCAGTATATGATATTGTTATGCCATGTCTTTAGTTGTTCCTCTCTCTACACCACCCGCTTCTTTGATTGCATGCCATGTTTGTTTTATTGTTCTCAAATATCTCTTCGGACTTGTTTTCCTCTTTGGTTTTTTTAAAGTGTATGATATTTATATACGGTTGTTCTCATTAACTGTTCTCACAGGTGATCGGAATCGATCTTTTGTCCCAATCTTTACTACCGGCAATTGTTGAACTTGCTGAGGACAGGCATTGGAGGGTTCGATTGGCTATAATTGAATATATACCTCTTTTGGCAAGTCAGTTAGGTGTAGGGTTTTTCGATGATAAGCTTGGTGCCCTATGCATGCAATGGTTACAGGACAAGGTTTGTGCTTCTTTGCTTCTTATGCATATCAGGGAACATGATGTATTCTTTCCTGGGTTTATCAACTTATTTCACTGAGCTGATATTATCTCAAAACTGGGATTAATCGACTCTAGAGTTCATTCATGGTGTGTCTATAAATCTAAAGTATCAGAGTTTGATACTACATATATTTGGCCTTCGCTTCCAATTTTACATTTTGTAAATATCACCTCATTTCTCTGAAAAGACAAAAAGATGCTCTTATGTTATATGAAATCCTGTCTTCTTGGTCAACAACTGGGTAAGTGGTCAATGGCGCAGCCCAAAGCACAACTAATATGGGGATCCCGCAAGGGGTAGTACTTTCTTGATTTTGGTCTTGTTTGTTTTTCTATATATTTATATATTTATGTATACACTATATTATTGTGTCTGGCTATGTTTTGTTAGGTTTACTCCATTAGAGAGGCTGCTGCTAACAACCTGAAGCGCCTTGCAGAAGAATTTGGTGCTGATTGGGCGATGCAGCACATTGTTCCACAGGTACAAACTAATGTACTAGGAATGCAGATAAATGTTGTCAGATTTTCGGATTTATTTATCCGAGTTCTGTATTGCTTTGTTGGCAGGTCTTGGAAATGGTCAACAACCCGCATTACTTGTATCGCATGACCATTCTCAGTGCGATTTCTCTACTTGCTCCTGTTATGGGATCGGAAATTACTTGTTCTAAGTTGCTCCCTGTGGTCATTACTCTATCCAAGGACAGGTGATTACATTCTTGATGGTATTACTATTCCTTTTGTCTCATGAAAATTGCATCATTTCCTCTATGGAAGACAAGTAAAATTTATTTATTTACCCGTTTTAAGTATACAAATCAATGCTACTGAGTTGGGTCTTGTATTCTAGATATCAATAAACAGTTAATATACATTACTACAAAATCAGCCTTGTAGGATGTCAAATATGTCTAAGTAGACGGCTTTATAGGACTTGAAGTTTATTGGACTAAACAATTGTGCGTCCTATATAAAGGTTGTTAGGTGTCATGTCACATTTGAGAAATATGTTTTTGGTGCATTTGTTACTGAACATGTTTCGTTTTCAGAGTGGCGAATATCAGGTTTAATGTGGCGAAGGTGTTGCAATCTTTTATTACCATCGTTGATCAATCCGTAAGCAACTCTTTCATTATTTTGTTTGATTGATTACACACGCTATGCACGTATTATGAAGGGATGTTTTTATCCAGGTGGTGGAGAAAAGCATTCGGCCATGCCTGGTTGAGCTGGCAGAGGATCCAGATGTGGATGTCCGTTATTTTTCAAAACAAGCTCTTCAGGCTATCGATCAAGTGATGATGTCGACCTAACTTTGAATTTGATGTGTCGGTTGCTAGAATTGTTCTTCACTTTTGACTTGTATGGCCGTTGTTGTAATGTCAATGTGCCCCCTCCCCCTCCCCCTATACAAAGCACCAAACATAAATACCATTAGCCTCTCCCTTTTTTCACTTCATTTTGTTTTTTTTCTTCCTGATTTTATCAGACTCCGATGATTAAAGATCCTTGTTTTTGTCATTCAAACCATTGCTGTTCATTGTCATTGTTCTGTGGTTACTTGGCCTATATATATATATATATATAACCCTAGAGGAGCGTTCAAATAAAAACTTGCCCCATTTGTGTAAATCAATCTCATCCATTCATTTTCTTGATCAATGATTAAGATTAGTTTATTTTATTTTAGAAAATTAAAAATTAAAAAATTAAAAAATATTAAAAAATTATTTTATTTCAATATTAACGGCAAAATTGGTAAACAAAAATAAACCATTTTATAATGAAACCTTTTCACATTGAAATAGTTTCATGAACATTAATTTCATAAAGAACAAAATATAATATGTACCCGTTTCATCATACATTTATTTCATAAAGAACAAAATAAATTATGCACCAATTTCATTTTCATCCTACTAACTAAACGGATCAACTTCAATCACAAAGCAACGTGGATCACCATGAAACTAGATCATGAATCGATTAGAGCATCAACATTTTCACCATTATAAACCTATTTCATTAACATGTAAAATATGCCTAAAAGAAGCAAATAAACCATTTTACAATGAAACCTTTTCACATTGAAACAGTTTCATGAACATGGATGATTTTTTTCCTCCAACCTCAAATCAAGATTTCATTCCATAAGAAGCTAGAATCTTCATACCACGTTTCCAGATTCATTGAATAAC